AAAAAAAAAAAAATTCCTCAAATCAGGGCACCTGAATGGCACAGTTAAGTGTCCAACTCTTGGTTTCAGCTCAGGTCGTGATCTTAGGGTTGTGAGGTCAAGCCGTGCAACTGGCTCCTCACACCACATGGAGTCTACTTAAGACTCCGTCTTCCTCTCCCCCGCCCCTCTCCTACCCCTCCCCACCTCAAATAAACAAATCTTAAAAAAAAAAAAATTCCTGCAAATCGACAATGAAAAAAATTTTTTTTCAAAAGTCAAATGCTTACCAAAACAAAGCTAAACCAGCAAAGTCCAGACACTCAACAATGTTAACACTGACAATGCTTGACATCTAATCAAAAATTATTAAACATGCCAAAAGGTGGGAAATGTGACCCGTAACTAAAAGAAAAATCAGTCCAATGGAAATATATCCAAAAATGACAGAGATGATAGAATTAGCAGACAGGGACATTAAAATAGCTATTACATTGATAACCAGTATTTAAAGGAAAACATGAACACAATGAGTGAAAAATAATAAACAAAATACCTGAAACAAAAAGGAATTCACCATATTGGATTAACAGAGTAGATATTGCCAAAGAAAAGATCAGTTACTTGAAGACAGAGCAATAGAAGCTTACTAAAAAGAAGCACAGAGAGACACAGACTGGGAAAAAAAATTTAATAAGTAAATAAAGCAAAGTCTAAACAACCCACAGGATAACACTAAACAATTTGCAGTATATAAATTTGAGGTCACAGAGGGAGAGGGATGGGAGGAAACAGAAAAAGTATTTGAAGAAATGGCCAAAAATTTTCCAAATTTCAAAGTTCCATTAAGGTCAACAAATTCCTACATCTAAAGAGCATTAAAGTCACAAGTGTCTCACATAAAGTATACTTTTAAAACCAAACTAAGAAATTTATTATATGTTGGAAAACATTACTATTTCTCACATACACACATTTCATCTCATCTTATGCTATTCAATAAGCTCATTAAACTCCCGTAAAAGTGAAACTTCTAAAAAGTTCCATATGGGCAAAGTAAAACAAAGACACCTTTAGTCATGTTCAGAGACCAACTCTGACATGAAGGCTCTACAGGGGCACCGAAAGACACAGCTGCATGCAGGGAAGACAGCGGTCTGGGCTGGGCTTGTAATAGTGAATGCTTTCCTGGAAGTTTACTTTTCAGAAGATCATTATTCTAAATACAAAATTAGTCCTGTCTTAGTGCCCACAATTAGATTAGAGGCACAATAAATCCTCAAGAACTATCATTATCTTACAATGAATATGAAAAAACTTTGCTTTTCTGATTGAATTTATGATGTACAACTGTATGACAAAAAAGTCAAAATATCTGCTTACAGCACCACGGCCATATGCATAATTATAACATAAAATGGCCTCATCAAGAAATCTAATTCATAACTCAGCATACAGGAGGAAGATAATGATGACTCCATCCTCTACATGCTACTTTTTTTTTAAGACTATTTTATTTCTCTTTTAAAGATT